AGGGGCTGCGCGGGTTCTGTGCGTATGTTTAATACCCGGGAAACCTCAGCTCGCTGTTTTCGCCCCATTTTGTGTACCACACGTGTCTCTTAGTGTCGCTTTCACACATCAGCACAGTATTCATAGAGCCACAGAACAGGTTGGAAGGGACCGTGAAGCTCCTCCCGCCCCAACCCCGTGCGCCGGGCACAGGGACACCTTCCACTGGAGCAGGGTGCTCCGAGCCCCCCTTCGCTTCGCTTTGCTGGTAGTAAGTGGTTGTGTTGCGGTGAGGTGCGTCCTGCTCCCGGCAGCGTGTGTGTGCCCCGCTCTGCGCACCGGGGCTGCGCTTACAGCAGCAGCGGGAGAACCCAGGCAGCGCAGGAGAATGTTTCCAAAACCTCGCTGTACTTCACATTGAGGATGATGAATCGCATTGGGGAAAAAACCATTCAGTGGGAATAAGGAAGCTGGAAATCTTGATTATGGGGGATAACGGGGGCTGTGCTGCTCCTCTTGCCACACCAGCTCTTGGAGGTTCATCCTCTGCTGTGCTTGTCCCATGGTCTCTCTTTATCTGCAGACTGAGCTGATAATGTGTCTTTTAGCAGTATTGAGGAATTAATTCCATGTATTAGATGCCTAAAACTTGATGGCGAGTTGTGGACTGTCCCTTATGTTGGAGTAGGAGGCAGAAAGAGCTGATGAAAAGCACCTGCACAGTAAATTGTGCCTGGATATTGTGATGTCAAATGACAGGGTCTTCCTCCCCAAAATACTGCACTTACTGCTCAGGCCTCAGTTGCTACTGCAGGAGGTGGGAATACCAAGGGCCATGCTTAATATCCTGCTCTTCGTTCCCCTGTCCCAGAAGAGGACTGTAGTCTCTGGATCAGCGTGTGAGGTGATGCTGTTGCAGTGGGTGTCTGTGTTTTGCACGTCTCTGTTTCACGGTGCCCTCTCCAGCGCAGTTCTTAAAGACTTTTTCCTGTTTTCTTCCAGTTTTCCTGACTGGAACTTTAATGTTTCTTTGGATGCTGAGACCAGCGCTCCCGTTTGAGCAGATTGGGGATCGAGGTCTGCTTCCACAATGATAGAGGCGTTAAAGACGCGCTGTTACTTACTCCTTTTTGTTCACATTGAGAATTACGTTTTAAATGTTACGAGTGTGTTATAATCTGTGAACATACAGTTGTGAGCTAAACATTAACAGAGGAAGGCAAACATTACACTCAGTTTGTGTCAGCGCAGTTTAAGTAAGTGAAATCAGCTTTTTGATGTTTGTTTGGGTTTTTTAAGATTAAGTTTAAGTAAGTGAAATCAGCTTTTTGATGTTCAGTTTGTTTGGGTTTTTAAGGTCAAGTTTTAAGCACTGGTTTGTTTTATTTCAGTGCACAAAGCCTAGAAGTAGGCAGAAGCAGTATTTTGTTTGTGTTTCTGTACAAATCCTTTCTTTTTCCTCTGATAGGTCTTTATGCTTTTCAGTGTTTAACTATAGAGAGCTCTATTTTGGTGAGGTGCTTCGCTGCGTTGCGGTGAGTGGATGATGTCTTTGAGAGCTCAGTTTAAAGGAGTTTGCTGCTGCACATTGAAATCCTAAAAGAGCAGGGGCTGATGATTTTCTTTCTTAGTCTGATGGTGTTTTCCGAGAGCTCTGAATTAGAAACGAGGGTTCAGGCTGAACTGCTAAAAACTCTAATTGCTGTAATTAGTTCCTGCTACAAGTCTTGCAGCACAGCTCCGAGTTCAAGCTATGATTAAACTGTGGGTACCTGAGGCTCTGCAGGCAGTTTGGGAAGTCTAATGTTGGAAAAACATTTCCCGTAGCAATTTAGATTACAGAGCAACAAGAAAGTGAGGAGCTGAGGGTAATTAATGGCACTAAAGTTGAGCAAACTGGCTTTGCTGCAGTTTGTTTGAGGATGTAATGAGGATTTTTATGGCTTGTTCTACGCGGTGGTGGAAGCTTTGTGAAAACGTGTGCGTCCTTGTAAAACTCGGGGATTGCAACAGTGGTTTATAGGTAGGTCTTTCTGACACTTGTGCTTTTGCTGTTAGCTTTCTGAGGTCTGAATTGGCAGGAGACAAAAAGGTAATGTGTTCTTAGGTGCGTTACTGGAGTCCCAGGGGCTTCCAGCCAACAATTTGATCATTTCTTTAATAAAAAGAAGTAATAGTTTTGCCTACGTCACAGTTATACTGAAATGCAAAGCTGCACTCAGGTTCTGCCTACGAAATGTTGATCAGCAGCTCTGTTAGCTGACGGGACCTTGCTGTCCAGCACAGCCCCGTCTGCATGCACCCCTTGGGCAAGCAGTCTTTGGAAGGGGAAAAAGCCCCCATCTATTCACTGGTTTAATGAATTTAAAGCCATTGCTTGGCCTGTGTTATTTGGGATTCTTTATTGTAAGAGTTGTGGAAGTTGTTGTTGAAGTCAGCTGAGCGGGTAGAAGTGAGGTTTGTGTTTTGTGCCTAAAATCTGCTTCCTGTGTACTCGCATGTCCTTCTTGGGGAGAGTAGCTGGAAATGAGTTGCTTTGCTGTGTGCAAAGGTAGTGCTGTGTGGTTTTGCCTGGACTAATCCTGGAGCAAAATGAAGAGCAAATTGAGAGGGACGTGTGTGATTTGTGTTGGGCCCAGAGGTGTTTTACTGGTACAATTGAACTGGTTCACGTGGCTTCACACTTGAGCTGACAAGTTCTCTTGGGAGACTTGGAGAAGCCCAAGGGAGGTCTAGCTTAGCCTTTCCCTGCGTGGATGTGGCTGTGTCTGGGTTAGCAGCCTTTGCATATTGCCCTGTGCCCCACTGGGTCCTGCCTAGGAAGGGATCTTTGCACCGTGCTCCACTTGGTGTTAGTAACCATCATGTGCTCTTTGTCTTGCCAAGAAGCATTTGAGCATTTGTTCATGTACGTGGCCAGTAGCATGTTGGGTTATATCCCTGCACAGGTTACCCCTGTGTGGGTCGTTTCAGGCTAGTAGTTAAAAATAATGGAAGGAGAGTGGTGTTAAGCAGTAGCTGGATCTAAGAAGCTCCTTTGAGGGCAGGAGAATCCAAACAAATATCATGCCTCCTTCCTGGTAATTCCCCTTTTGCAGTCAGGCTTGACACTGGGTTGTTTGTATGTTAGAGTTCTGCTGACGGACTGCTAAAGCTGGTTGTCTTTTGCGTGTTTTGACAACTAAGCTGATAGAACAGTATGAAGATAACTGGATTTGGGGTAGAACTGCACGTTCTGCTGCTGCTTTCTAAAGAGATCTGGACATGATCTAAATACTGAACTCATTTACATAACTAAATGCTTTTGCAGGGTAAGGGGGGAAGAAAAGCATCAGACCTTAAATTCAGCCTTTTCACTGTAAGGTGTGAGGCAGGGAAGTGCAGTGCAGGGTCATATCCCTTATCCATTCCCAGCCAGTGGTGGTGCCCGGAAGGGTGCAGGAGCAGAGTGTAAGTTAAGTTCTGTTCCTGCAGGGTCTCCCTGGTGGGTGCAGTGGTCACAGGCAGTTTGCAGTAAAGCTGTCAGCAGTGAGTGTCATGTGCACCTCGAGTTCCCCGCGGGTGAAACGTACCAGTTCTATACCTGTTACACATACATGTCTTACAGTAACGTGCCTGTGTGTTGGGAGCTTTTCAGGTATTCAGGAAGCAGATAAGAGCATTCTGGGGAGCTTCTAAATAAAGGGCAGATGTGTTTAGGGAAGAGGAAGTTATTTTTCCCCTACCCCCTTCTAGATACACATTCTGTGTTGGCAGACCCAAGTTGTTGTAAGCGTAGAGTATCAGAACAGCATCCAGCTGAAGGTGAGAGCAGTGGCAGAACGGGTGAGAGGATGTACCTGTGTGCATGTGATGCTCTTACTGCATCCATGCAGGAATATACAGTCCTGGGAAGAGTGTACTGGGAAGGTTCACTGCTGAGTTTGCCTTTGAGACTTTTGGTTGCCGTTCAGTTCCTTGAAATCACATTCCAGGCAGCTTGCTTCAAGTAACACTTTTGTACAACTAATTTAAAAGCATAAAAGTCTTGCTATGGGGGAAATAATAGTTTTTAATAATGCGTTTAAGAATTCATTATGTTAATACAGGTACAGTGAAAGAGTCTGGTGAGAAACATAAGGGATCTGTTGAAATTCCTAACCTGTCAGAAGAAAATGAGGTAGATGATACAGAGGTAGGTGTGAAATACTGATATGGCTGTATAGGTTCAGAATTCTTATATAAAGCATTAACCAACATAGAGGCATCATATTTTGATTTATCCTATGATTAAGTGGGATAATTGCCCTTGGCTACTTTATTTCATGTTTTTGGTTTTCATACTTGGGATAATGATTTATGTCTGTTCTCAGATTTACCTACTAGGCATGTGCACGACTTCCTCTGCTAATTACTGTTTGTGACAATATATTAACCACAAGTTTGAGAAGAACTTTGCTCATTGTAGCATTAAAAAACCCAAACCCTAAGAACTTAAGGAGCTTCCTTGTTGGTTGTGTAGCAGCACTTGCACTGTGGCTTCCACAGACTCCTCAGCCTTGGCTGCGTAGTGGGCAGCTCTCTTTATACTTGATGAACTTGACTAAGCTACTGTGGAGATCCTACATTTATTTAAGTCAAAACCCAAGAGAATGTGTTTGTAGCAAAGGTAGGATAAACCGAGGAGATGAAGTTGAAGCTGTCCTCTCAATGTAGTGAACAGCCAAAATGATTTCTTTTGTTGCCAGAACCCAGAATGCTCATGTTTAGATGCCTCTTAGATCTTGTAATTCTTCTGTTTCTAGATAAATGTTAGCAAAAAGAAAGGGGAAGGCGATGTCCTGAAGGATCTTATGAGAACTGAGGGAACCACGAAAGTCAGAGAGGCCTTGAGAGATTATCTGAAAGCACTTAAAACAGGTAAATTAAACCCTTGTGTTCGGTGTGGTTTTATGCAATCTTCTTCTTGAGCAGATTAGTGATACATTGACAGGTCCTTGGGTTCGTGTTGGTTTTCCTTCTAATTGTCACCAGCCAAGATGACATAACTCAAGCTACCAGTCAAAAATCTCCATTGCTGTCAAACGTGGCAGCGTCCAGAAGCTTCTGCAGTGACCCAGGCTGGGTTGAGTTACACACTCTTGGCCACAGCCATCGCTGTCAGCCCTGCAGCCCGACTGCTTGGCTGGCAAAGCAGTGCCTGGCCCTCAGCTCGTTAGTTCTGTGCCAAACTGGTCAGAACTTTGTGGAGACGGTGCAGTCCTTAAGGGGCAGATGTGAGTAGTTTGGGGTCAGGTAACTTTGAAAAGCCTGTGGTTTTAGAGGAGATCACTGCTGGGCTCTGTTACTCGTACAAAGCATGTAGCTGGGGTGAGGAGGCTGGATCGGAGTTGAACATCTCATTCCGTGCTCCCAGTCTCCACAGTTTTGACCAGCAGTCTTAGTTAAGTACCTAAACAGCAGGGCTGTTTTACAGCTCATTTTCATGCTGAAAAGTGCTTTTCTTTATTCCAGAGTTTACCTTGGGAATGATTCTGCCAACAAAAGCTGCTGTTGGTCAGGAGCTGGCCGCTGAGCGAAAACTAAGTGCACACCCCACGCAAGTATGTTGGCTTTTGGGTTTACCATAAATGTAGCCCCTCCAGGTTCTGCTGTGGGCACATCTGTGTATTCCTGTGATCACCTGTACAAGTGAGAGCCACTGGGGTACAAGTACCTCCTCACTGCTGTGATCAGGGCCTGCAGTACAGAAATGACCCATCACAGAGCTCCCGGGCACAGAAGGAGGATCACAGCATCTATGTACCCCTCAGGGCTTTGCTCTGTGATGGCTTCAGCAAGGTGAGGCTGGAATCCACCTGTACAAATCGCTTCCCTCAGGCTGAAGTTGGCTTCAGGTGGCTTGGAGCAGATCATAGAGTTTTTCACTTAATTTAGTGAATCCTCATTAACAATACTGTGAAGTAAATATGGAAACACGTTGTATAATTCATGTGTATTCAGAACCCAGTATGTTTAAGAACGCACAGATAACACCATTCCTGCCGCTCCAGACGTGTTTGGTCCTGCACGCGTTGACACGAGTGTTTTTTCCTTTGCAGGATTCTGTTTCACCACAAGATGTGGTCGGTGTAAAAATCCCAACAGTGAAGATACTCATGAGGGAAATCTTCAACTCTCCAGCGGATGAACTTTACAGCATCTTCACAACTAAGGAGGTAGGTGATACTTCCAGTGGGCTCCGTAATGTCATGTGGGTGCTGTTACAGCTGAAGAGTTGCGTAATGAGCCTGAAGTGCTCAGTAGTGGTGCTGATGAGATCCACAGCTTGCAGGTGAATTAACTATGGATGAGATGACGCTGTTGCTTACAGGGTGTGAAATAGAAAATTACTGATAATTCAAAAGAGCCTGGGCTGGTATCAGAGAACTTCAGATTACAATCCCAGTGCCTGCAGTGGGAAACAGTAATGGCTCTCAGCAGCTTTTCTGCACCTTCTTGCAGCTGCTGCTTGGTCTCACTCATTTCCAAACCTAGCAACAGCCAGTCATGCCTGTGTGTATGTCTGTGTGTGCTCTGTCCATGCCCCTTGCAGGTGGCTACAGCCTGTACTGCTCTTTACCAGTACATTGTTGTCGCCTCACTGGACACTGCTACCACCATGGAGCTCAGTGGAGTGCCCTGTAACATGAAAGGTCCAGTTAGTTGCTTAAACACACTTATGTGTATTACAGTGTAGTTAATTACTTCAGCAAACCTCTCTTGACTCATACTCGGTGCATTTTGTATCAGTACAGAGTTGTAGTGAGGTGACTTGTGCTGTGTTCTGGTTTTGGCAGCTGGTACAGAAGTTCTCTAAGTGTCCTGCTGTGATCGAAGCTGAGAAAGGAGGCAAACTTCAGATGTTTGATGGCTCTGTCAGCGGGGAATACACAGAACTGGTAAAAAGCTCCTGCTTTGCACTTCAAAAATGGGGATGCAGCATAAGGAGGTTTCTGACAGTTCAGCTTCTGTGATGCATGTTCAGTGCCTTTGTCAAAGCCAAGAAATCGCTATCACGGTGTGTGGTTTTCCTTCCCCATCAACAGAGCAGGTGCTGAGCACACCTCATGGCCTGCACTGGGGGAGAAAACTCTCAGCACCATCCTATTTTACTGGGGGGGTGGGTGAGAAAGCAGGTTTATCTCCCAACTCCTATATCAGTTCTTCTTGTAACTGGAAGACGGATCTTTGTTCCATTCGGGGCAGATGTTACACGTTCCCTCACTGAATGCTTTTGGAAATAGAAGGGAAAAACTGACAATCAGAGCTCAGCTCCATTTGTGAAACCTCTGAAATCCATTTTCACAGTTGCTGAGCGTAGACTTGGTACCTTACGTCCATGCAGACGGCAGGCACCGAGCGTCACTGACGGCTGGATTCTTGGTTCAACCTCATAATAGCTGTTTCTGACTCCAGAAAGGGCTTGGTCTGGAAACACACCTGAGATTGGCTTCGGTGCTGACAGCCCATGGGGGAAGCTGAGGGAAGTCAGTTACAGTCACCAACCTTTGCAATTCGATGAGGAACTCTTCAGGTGAAACAGTCAAGATGATTGATACAAACTTAACGGCTGTGTGAAAGCAGTGAGCTGGTTTGGGGCAGGCTTCAGCTGTAAGAACGCTGATGCTGGAGTGGTGCCTCCCCTTGCCCAGGAGCTGTGCCAGCCTCTAAATCATTTCCATGCAGTGCTGCCTAACCTGGACACTGAGGCACAGCTGATTGCTTAACAGGAAATCAGAGGCATGCTGTCATGCTTGTTGATTTCAGAGGTGAAACCATGACTCTTCCCAGTGCCCATTTCAGGGTCTGCAGGAAAACCAATGCTTTATGTTTAGTAACTAATCAGCGTGACCTTACCCCATCCAGGAAACAAAGCAGTGGAAGGCAGGAAGCTGAGACCTTCATGAAAACAGTTTATTTAAAACCCAAGCCCCCATCTCTGTATTATTATTACATAAAACACGGCTCCTCTCACTTCCCAGGGGAGAATTCGCATCGAGCAGTCGTAATGTGAGTTGTCTCCAACGCCAGTGAGGAGAACCTTCTGCTCTTATTGCAGGTGCCAAGCCAAAGAATTGTCCTGAAGTGGAGGTGTAGAAGCTGGCCCGATGGTGAGTCTTTGTGAGGACCTCTAATAGCAGCTGCACATTGCAGGGACAAGGAGCAAACATGACAAGCACCAGCCTTGCTGCCTGGGAGCTTAGTCCGTGTTCTTTGGAGGCAGCCGCATGGCCACAGCAGTTGTGGTCTGTGAGAAGCAGCTTTGCTCACAGGCAGCAGCAGATAGGAAATGAGCAACAACACACTTACTTAATCCTTTAAAAACCACTTCATTGAAATGTCTTGTTTTCTTCCCCCAGAACATTATGCAGTGGTTGCCTTGAATTTCAAGGATATGGCTGCTCAAACAGAACTGCAGTTAGAGTGCAAAGGAGTTCCCGTCTCTAGTGAAGACAGCACAAGACAGTGTTGGAAGCAGCAGTATTTTGAAGAAATACATATTTTCCTCCAGCAATCCAAAGACAACATGGAATGATAAGAGCACTGTAGTTTTTGTTAGGGCATTACTTTTTATACTTTGTTAACATTTGGTTTTTTAAAAGAAGTAATTTATTTGTGGGAAGAATAAAGACCCACCTCTCTGATACTGTATATAATTTAAGCATTATTTATGGGGTTTTAGTGAATGAGGAGGCACGTAATGCAGGCTCTGTCTGTAGACAGCTTTACTGGGGGGAACTGATCTCTATTCTGCTTGCTTGCAATTAAATCTGAAGTAGTAACAATTCAGCTGCAGTGAAGCACCGTTGTAGGTGGGTAAGTGACCTGAACCAGGAGGAAACATTTGCTGTACTTTAATATTCAGTATATCCAGTGGGAAACTTAAATCCCTCAAGGACCCGGGGTTCCCATGAGAGGTGATCTAGAAGGGATGATAAAGCTGCTGATGCATCAGCTCTTTGGAGACATGGGAGGGATTTCAGTTACAGCACCTTGAAATACTTCTTAAAATGGCTTTAACTGCAAACTGAATTTGTTTCTAATCTGTAGGCAATTTTAGGGGAAGATGGTTACCAGCGCCGTGCCCTGGCTGGTACCGCGGGTACCACTGGTACGTCCGCATGCACTTACTTGCCCTCGGCGTGACATTTCCTTTGGCAGTAATAATGCTTTCCTTTTGCAATCCTGTGACCCTTCCCCTCCAATCATTTGTGGGCCTCTGCAAAGCTGTAGCGCAGATTAAAGTGAGCAACTGTTTGTTGGAGAACTGTGACAGGAGCGTAGCTGGGCTGTTGGAAGTAAAGAAGCGTTACTCTTACCTTGAGGTCAGCAAGGGTAACTTAATTCTCAAATGCTTTATAAAAAGGTCTATGAATTAAGTATGCAATTTGAAACAGATTGACCAAAAAAAAGGCAAACTGCCTTGGGAAAATGTGGTTGACTCAATAAAATGTTATTTTACATGCAGTTTGTTTCCTCCATTAACTGATACTGCCAAACTAAGAGAGTCTGTAGGAGTTAAGTCAAGTCCTACATACTTCATTTTTACAGGACACCAGCATATGGCAACCACCACCCCCAGCCTCACATCACCCAGGACATGGAGATGTGCTGCTCTTCTCCACAGGCAAAGCTTTCCCGGGAAGGTTTGCAGTCAGTTACCATCCCCTGTGCACTTCAGCGAGGTTTGTTGTAGTAACACAAACAAACACCCCACAGTCATGAAGTAGATGCACGAATTGGTTACTAAGTGTTGTGTTGCTGGTGTTTCAGGTGTCCAGGTAGAGGGGGGAAAACCACCTCTTGAGGAGTGGCATGTTTTGGCACCTCTCTGCATGCTCAGAATTTAGTAACCTTTTGTAATAAACATTCAAGGACAAGGAGCCAAACATCTGGAATACGAAAGTGAGTGAGAGTTTTGGTTGATGGAAGGAAGCTTTAAATAAAAACAGGAAATCTAGGTTTAAGACAGATCAGGCTGAGCAGCTTCTTTGTGTAGATGACCCATTTTGTGATAACTCAGTATCCCAGAGTGGACTGTTCCATGTATCCTACAGCCCTTGTACTTCTCTGGGAAGCATTCCTTGCCACTCCTCCCACCTGAGCAAGCCCTTCCACCTTTGGGTCACAAGTGCCCACCCCTTGTATGTTTTGCTACTCTCAATTCTCTTGTGTCCTTCCTCAGTATTCAGCTGCAGCCACTGCTGAGCAGTGGTGTTTGTTAAAGAAGTGACTTACTCATGTGTCCAGTGTCGCACCGCTCACTGCAGGTGAGTCCCCAGAGCCCCCAGACAGCTCTGGCAGTGGCTGCTGCGAGGGCCAAGGACGGGCAGTGAGCTGAAGAGGACACGTCGTCTTTAGTGTTCTTGTTCCCTTGTGCCTGCAGAGCTGTAGGATCGGTAACACATGTACAAGCTTGCTTCAGTTAAAACCATGAGGTACCTCCCCTTCCACCCTGCTGGTAGGGCCGCTGGGAAGAAAGGGGCAGACAGCATCCCAGCCACGAACAGCCCTGCCTGACGGGCTGTCCTGGCAGCCAAAAAAGGGATGTGTTTTCTCTTGTCTTCCCATCCCCGCAGCACGTAGCTGACACTAGTGTTGTGTCGCTGACCTGGAAGTTCAATTCCTGCACACAGTTACTTTGGGATTGAGAAATATCAAGGAGGAGTTCGTTTTACCCATAGCCTGCAGCCTCAGGAGGGCTCCCAGCACTATCAGCCGTAGCATAAAGGGGGCAGTCACCAGCTTGGAGAGGCAACACAATTCATTCTCGAGTGCTAAAATTCCTCGTAGACTCCCCAAGAGTTTAATAAACCCGAAGACTGTTAAACTTGTTATCCCCAGCCCTTGAGCCGGAGGGAGCAGAGTTGGGAATCACACAGCATTTGGTAACTGACTGACAATAATAATATGATAGTATCATACAGGATGAAATTACAGGATCATAAATGGAGCTTGTTTTCTAAGTAAGTCCTCATGATGACTTCCCTGTCCTGAAGAACATTCTCCCCAGTATAACTAAAGAGAAATGGCAGGAGTGGAGACAGATGCATGGAGCTGGTGGAAGATATGTTCAAATTCACTTCAATTCATGTCTGAAAGAGACTAACGAGCACAAAGGACACGCCAGGGAGAGTAAACAGTGTGAAATAAGCAACAGAGCCGAAACAGGGAGTTCAAATTCACTGGAATTCGTGTTTGAAAGAGACTAACGAGCACAAAGGACACGCCAGGGAGAGTAAACTGTGAAATAAGCAACAGAGCCAAAACAGGGAGAGGTGGTTTTGCTTGTGATGTAGTGCTTTTGTAACGAGGTCAGATTCTGGAGAACCACCTGGCCGCTGAGAAAGCCAAAAGGAAAAACAAATGTGAAGGATGGGATCTGTAAGATGAAAGCCAAAAATAAGAGCAGAGGATGGTCTTGGTCTGAGTGCAGGAGCAGGGGCTGGCTGTGCACAGGGACAGGAGAGAGTAGCTTAAAAGCTTAATTTTGAAGGGGTTGAAAGGAAGGTGGGAATTCCAAGAGGAAATCCTCAACAATTACATGAGAGGTGGGATGAGCCATGGAACAGAGTAAGAGCTTCATGAGACTGAGGATGTCAGTTAAAGATGGGGTTTTCAAAGACTGGATAAAAAGCAGTCTGGAATGCAAAGAAATAAAAGCCAGAAAATGATTTAAAGAAGGGGAACAATGGAAGAAATCATGACTTAGAGAGCATGGGATGTGAGGGACCCAAAGGGAGATAAAGCAACTGGTGCAGACAAGAGTAGGGAAGAGGAGACAAGAATAGTGGGAAAAAATTCCCAGTAAAAATGGCAGGAATACTCCAGGGGGGAAGCTGGGAGGTAACGTGAGGGAAGAGCAGGAAGAACAGTTACACTGTGTAATCCTGGCACCAATTCTTAAAGCAAAATAATAGAAAAGGTGGTATTAAACTTACTCAGTTTACTTACAGGATAAACTTAGTTTACTTACAGGATGATCCTATGATTAAAGCTGTCACTTTTGCTCAAGGTTTTTGAAGAGGCTGCAAAGGGAACTGCTGCCTGATAGTGTTCTACTGAGTCAAGGTGCTTGGCTTAGAGAGCCACCAGCTCCCAACGCCCTGCATCACTGAAACACCACACACAACTGCAACTTCAGGAGTCCTTGTTTGGCCTTGTCCTGGCATTCAACATGGCCAGTTATGTTTTTGTGAGAAAATAATAGACAGTAATGTATAAAACACCTACTAATAGCATTGGCAAATCACATCTATGGGTCTGTAAGGGCAAATACCCTAAAATTGACTAAAAGACCTAGTCAGTGACCAGCCAAACATCAAAGTGCTGATGTTCATCTGGGAGCACACGAGAGCAAGAAAGGTGTATTGCTAATGAAGTAATTGTTAAATACTGTTCATACTTGGTACTCTTCACAAAGGGGGGTCGAAATAATGAGAAAGAAACATCCCAAAGGACAGAATTCCTTGCTTTAGTGATGGAATTACGGTGTGATGTCATCCTGTATGAGAAGCTAAAGCCAACAAACTGCAGTATCAGACAACATAGCAAAAATCAGGTGCACAGTTTTAATAACAGCAATTAATTAACAGAGACTACTCACCCAAGGGTTAGAATGGCTGCTCCACCTCCTGAAGGTGTATCTTGAAGGTATCTTCCTACACGCACCTTAATCCAACCGCAGATTAGTAGGTTTGGTAGAAGACTTGACAGATGAACTCAGAAACTTGTTATGGAGAAGCTTTGAGCAGAACAATTCCTCTGAAGTTACAATCTATGAAGAGGTTGATCAGAAACAGTAATAAAATTACTCGTAAAGGGAGTGAAACCATAATTACTTCATGTCTGGATAACGAGGAGAGCAACTTAAGCACTCGCCAGCATCAACACAGTGTGTAACTGTGGGAGTAACAGTGCTAATCAAGGGGAATCTTAAAAGTGAACTTTGGAGACAAATTATTACTTGCAGAAGGTTAAAAATATTGAGAGTAGATTCAAGGAGAGTAAGAGGAGTCACAGAAGCATCACATAATAGAATCGTGGAGAAGCAAATGATGCTCAACTACATTGAATGGTAGAATGAAGGAATTTGGAAGAAAAAAGGCCCAGATAGATAGATGTATTATGAAGACAATAGAGAAACAAATGAGCTAAGCAACTGGAAAATGAAGCTGAAAATGGAGTTTAATCAGATATTAAAACCAGTATCATTGACAGTCTGAAAAGTCACATAGGAAATAATGGATATTGCTCGGAAATCACAGGAGGAAGTGGGACAGGGAGAGATGATAAAGTCATTCCAGCATTTGAGGGGTGCAGAAGCCATCAAGAAAGCAACAGCCAGAGGGAGCAGGCCCCTGGGCAGCAGGTAGAGGGGAAGAGGAAGCAAGTCTATGGATGGTGCAGGAATAAAACATGGCTAACACAGGTCAGAGTTAGGGAAATGAAAAGTTCCAGTGGCTTCTGCACCTCTTTGTGTTCCAACACAGGGGGGAGAAAGTAAACAACCACCAGTCCCTCTCAACTGTGTGA